TATAGTCACTTTATGTTCTAAAGACGACATAAAGGTGTGTCACAGGGTAGCTTTTGTAAAAGAAAATCAAAGTGGGTGACATGATGTATATTTGACTGTAATGTGTTTGTTATATCATGTTGTATTTATTGAAAACAAGTGGGTCGTGGGATACAGTTTGATGATCCAATAATGATACATTATAGGATGGGTTCCACGTTTAAGTCTTTATCCAAATCTACAAGACAATTCTATGTGTCTTAGCATCTGTGGTTTCAGTGATCTTTTATTTGTTTTGTATATAGTTAAAAATAAACACAAACTATAAAAAGGGTTCAGCGACACATCTTTAATAAGAGGGCAAATAGAATTGATGAGTTTTAAATCCCAACCGCCCAACGCCCCAACCGCAAATTTGCGCTAAAAATAATAAGTTATTGTTTATTTTAATGATCGCAGATTTCATACTACGTTAGTAATGTTTACTACGAAACGAAACATTTTCAATTTGGCACAATTTTTGCTGACGTCAATAATCATCATAATCATTATAGGAATAATAGATTTTTTACACATTGGCCGATCTCATCAGAAAAAAATACACAAACAGATAGGCTACGTAATATATAGAAATTACTTAAGATACATATTGAAATACATATGTAGAAATTAGTTAAGATACATATGGAAAATAGTTCAGATACTTGTAGAAATTAGTTTTAGATACACTAAAAAAAATTTGTTACAATGTTTTATAACACTATTATGAAAAGGATTGAGATACATATTGATATTAGTTAAAATGCATAATAGAATTAGTTCGGATGAATAGAAAATATACATACAGTTAAGTCAAGAACAGAAAATTATCGAAATTAGTTGAGATAACATAAAAAATAAGTTAAGGTGCATTCAGGAATTAGTTCATATACAGATAGAGTAACGCATAGAAATTATTTATGATGAATAATATAAACATCAGATATTAGATACACATAGAAGTTAGTTATACATATATTAGAAATAAGTTAAGTTAAATATATAAATTTGATTAGTTTGGATACATATAAAAATTAGCTTAAATACATATAGAAATTAGTTAATATGCATATAGAAATTAGTTTAGGTACATATAGAAATTAGTTAATATGCATAAATTAGTTTAGATACATATAGAAATAAGTTAAGATACATATAGAAATTAGTTCAGATACTATAGAAATTAGTTCAGATACATATAGAAATTAGTTCAGATACATATAGAAATTAGTTTAGATAGATATAGAAATTAGTTCAGATACATATAGAAATTAGTTCAAATACACATACAAATTAGATTAAAGTTAATATGCATATAGAAATTAGTTCAGTTACATATAGAAATTAGTTCAGATACATATAGAAATTAGTTCAGATACATATAGAAATTAGTTTAAAGTTAATATGCATATAGAAATTAGTTCAGATACATATAGAAATTATTCCAGATACATAAAGAAATTAGTTTAGAAACATATAAAAATTAGTTTAGAAATATAGAAATTTGTTCAGATAAATAGACATTTGTTCAGATACATACATAAATTATTTCAGATACATATAGAAATTAGTTTAGATAGAAATGATGTAAAGCACAATGATTAGTTACAAAAGGACATTGAATTTATTCTGATGTATGCAATATTTTTCATCAATAAAGGTTGTTACAGTTTTTGTTCAGGTTTGTGTAAAAGTGTATAAATTACATGTTATTTAAGTCTGATTTTATTGAAAGATTGTTTTTTTTATCTTTCTAATATCTTAAAATATGCAAATATTATATTGTTTGTGGTTTTGTTTGCCACATTATACATGATTTCACTTACCAACGTTCTAAAACAAATTGACAATACAATGTTTTTGGTTAACATAAATATCCAATAGATTTTTTATCGACATCAAACGCTATTGGATACATCTGCTTTGATTGGCATACGAACGACACGTGCCATCAAATGTTATGTTATTGAAAGGGGGTGTGGCTTCATTGTTATATGAAGTGCGGACACGAGGCTAAAATTAGTAGAGGAAACATCGAGAGTTCCTGTTAATTTCCGATCTCAATTTATTAATTTGTTCAACATAATGCCACGATCATTTTTAGTCAAGAGTCAAAAATCTTCAGAATCTGACGAGATGAGTGCTTTCCATATTGTGGTACCAAGGCGAAGTGGTAATGGTAAGTAATTTTTTTTTATTAAACTTCTGTCATTAATTTCATTATTCCAATGTAAGTATTGAGATTTCGTCGTGACCTTTTTTTAATAATTATCTTCCTCAAATATTTATCTAGAATAATTCAGGAAGAATTACAGGAACAACAAAACTTAATATAGTGTCCATCCTTTTTGGCTTTAAGACCATTGTTCACCATTTTGGCCTTGAATATATTATGTAAATAGTCTTCAGAAGTACTTGAACTGTACAAAAACCTTCAAAAATACCTAAGACTTTAGAATAATACCACTCTGTATACAAGAATGCACCAAAATTTGCAAACAATGAAAAAAATTGTTCGGTTCTTAAAATCTCATTTCTTACGTGCACAGTTTCGAGAACCTCATGACATCATAGTCATGATATGTTTAATTCCACATTATTTTATGGTCGTCTTTTTATTAGCCCAATCACAAACACAAAAGTAGGATGCAAAACTTCATTTCATATTTCATGAATCATGAAGCCAACATTTTATATCAAAATATAATTCTGACCTGAACAAATTGTCACACTGATGTTCTCAGATTAAAATACATTATAATTATTTCTCACAATTAGTCAGTTATAACTGAATTATTAATTCTAATATTTGATTTAAAAAAATTCTAAATCACTGCCATAAAAATGAAACTAATTGCAGAAGTATTTCAAAGATTTTATCAAGGGATAAATTTATTATAAATCTGAAAGTTTTCTAGTGGATGTCTAACACCATGTCTTGACCACTTTTATAAAATATCAAAACGAAATTAAATAAAATTGAAATCAGATGGTTTATTTATTAGTTTCCCTTGATTATTTTTTATCTCTTCAGGTATATTTCAATCAGTTTTATGACAAAATGATGATCAATTTCTTTTCTCACTAATATTATTGGTCATCTTATTGTTTTGACACTTTTTAAGATTTTAGACAGACACCAGATGATGCCCTTTTAGGTTTATTTTTCTCCCAAGTGACACTTGTTGAAATAAGTAGCAAAGTTTCATTTTGTTACGCTGATGTCCAAAGCTTATTTTGACTGATATGCAGTTAATCGTTTAATCGGGATAGTAAAATTTACTTATTCCTTGAGCATATCCGAATATTCGTTTGAGGTCTATTGTGGTTTATAGAATTATTTCTTTAATATTGACAAAATGAAACCGAAACTGATGAAAATGCAGATTTAGATATTTCTTGATTTTTCTGTGAAAGACTCTGTTACCACATAATCTGAAGAAATTTTGTCTTTAATTGTGCTCAGTCAAATCAAAAGTCAAAAGTTGTTGAATTTTATATTTAAAAAAAGACTATAAAAAGCATACATTTTAACAATAAAAATACCCAATACGAAATCTGGAAGTTCTTCTTTTGTTTTTGTACTTGAGTGAACTATTTGGTTAATCGTTTTTCAATAAAGTCTGTAGTTAATTTTTGGTACAGTATGATCTAATGATTAGTAAAGAAACCAATTGATGTGTAAATCTGAAGATAAATTTACGTGATGATTAAATTGATTATTGTTTTAACGCAGTGTTTGAAAATTATTTATTGAAAAACGATGAGAATTTCACAAGCTTGTATTTAAATAAACTTTTATTGCTTTTCCTTAAGTATCTAAAGTATCATATTTGAACTTAATTTTCTACATCAAATTGATTCAGATATTGCTCAATTCTGTACCAAACAGGAAATATTTTCCCCTAAAATCAGAAAGTGAAATTAATTAGCTCAAAAGAGACATTATTCCACCTTCACATTGACGTCGTTCGGCAACTCTTGGAGAGCCATTTTCACGTTGACAATGAAACCTAACATTACTGTAGACTGCATTTTGCCACGTTTAAAGATGACAATAACGATCTGAACTAGTTGTCGATAGTCTAAAAATTTCATTAGTTATAAAAATTAGTAATTTTATCTCATTAGAACTGAAAATGTTACACTTGACAATGAAAATAAAATTGCAAGAAAAATATTGGGTTAATTTTAAGGGTAAAAATGGGTAAACTATATTTGAACTATAATTCTATTCCACAATGTAATTATATTTCAGCGAATGAATAATAATATTGAGTTTGTATATTTCCAAGACAGACCACTTTGACTTTATCAGATTTCATTATTCTTATTTTAAACCTCTTATTTTCAGGAGATGAATCACCCTCATCAAAATTCTCTACAGTTGGAGGTAATTTTACTGCTTTTAGACCTTGGGTTGCTGAATCTACCGTAGACAAACAAGACTCATCGAGAGATGACGATGATAATAAAACAACAAGCGAAGGTTGGTTTGACTTCATTTAATCATTAATGGTGTAGTTGTTGCATTAGTAACAGTTTCCAATACCTAAACGGCAAGGAGTCGTCAAATATGGATAGAACACAATTTCAACTATCCAAAAAGCTGTTTGGGACTAAATTCCGATACTAAATTTTCTTGCAATTTAACAAAGACTTACTGCCCTTCCGGAAGTTTATCTTGATAAAAAGTTGATTATGTTTTGAATTGATTCGGTTTTATTTCAGATATACTACGAGAGAAACTGTTTGATCTCAAACGTGGAAGTCTTGTTAACTCGTACCTGCACAACCTAGCTAAAGTACACCAAACATTTTCTTTCGATAATCTTTATTTCTTTCCACCAAATTTATTCCTACCGTCGCCATATTTGAAATATCCGCGCCATTTTGAATCAAGTATCCTTAACCGAAATGAAAACGAGATTGACGAAGATCTACACTATGAAGAGAGGAAAGGTTATGTCGACCCGAATTCGTCATTTGAATGTGCCCAGTGTAACAAACATTTTACCACACCTCATGGTTTAGAAGTTCATGTCCGCAGATCACACATTGGAACCAGACCCTTCGCTTGTGACATCTGTAATAAATCATTTGGACATGCCGTTAGTTTGGATCAACATAGAGTCGTTCACACTCAAGAAAGAAACTTTTCCTGTGCACAGTGTGGTAAATCATTCAAGAGATCATCAACTCTGTCCACTCATCTACTGATTCACAGTGACACCAGACCTTACCCTTGTCCTTATTGTGGTAAACGATTTCATCAAAAATCTGATATGAAGAAACACACCTATATACATACTGGTAAGTAAGGTCATAATTAAATGAAAACCGGTTACGTTGATTCGCATACTTTGCCGACTTGTGTAAGAATTCCTTATGTGAAGCTGTGTGCAGGCGTTGAAGCTCCCGACGCATATTTTTTTTCTTGTTCCAACATGTTTTGAATATTCATCCCGTATTACGTCTTTGATCTTATATAGTTTTTTGTTCTAATTGAAAAATGTCATTCATGATGCTAAGTTCTAAAGATAACGGGTTGCCTTTTCAAGATTCTGGAATAGTTCCACTTCCTGTGTCGTAGATGGTTTTAGTTTTCCTGTGGAAAAATTACAATGGTCCTATTGATTTTGATTATACTGACTTGTTTCAGATAATAATATACGTTAATTTGTATATTAATTTATAACGGACATTGAATAGATAATGATTTTATTGGTATTATTAATATATATTATAGACTAAAATCTAAATTAAGATTACTTCCGAGTTAATCTAATTTCATTAAAATCACAGTCGGAATCTGGCTAGTGACTTAATTTTCTATAGATAAAGTTTTATCACTAAATTCTGACATATCATTTAGACTTAGAGACACAATGAGGTATGTAAAGGTGTAATATACTAATAATAATAATTTTATGTAATCATTGAGAACGCGGTTGCTTCAAGTCAATTCATAGAAATAATGTTTCAGTGATTCCAATCCTAGTTTGATTTGATATGATTGACTCTCATTACCTCAATGTATTGAGACTGGTTTAAGGGGAATATTTCTCTGATCAAATATCACCATTTGTTATGTTATCTGCCATGATTTTGCCATTTTCGTCCATGGGGAGACTGTTGACATTTCTATCACGTGATAAACAAAATGTCGACAACGTCAGAGATTTACGTGCTTGTCCCTATTCTAATTTGGTAATAGCTTCGAAATGTCAGATTTACTCTAATTTCCGAATTCTGTTTGAGTTTCCTATCAAATTACGCCTTTACAGTGTAAATTTATGCCGTCATGATTTAGTAAAATGGCATAATGAATAATTGACTGATTTGTGTAGATGATTCAAGACGTAGTGACAACAAAATTGTTGTCTTTGAACCTTACCAAACATTTTTTGAAAAAAAAGATTGAAAACTTGCAAACTTTGATTCGTTACAATCTTGCAGGTATTTTGACACCCACGGCTCCTATTTATAATAATAATAATTACTTTATTTTGGCTTATATTTGTACCATTCCGATTTCCTGCTCGATGTCTTTTATTGATGTTCTTCAAGGGAAATTCAAGATTGTGACGTAACTATAGCAAATACCATATGATTTTGGTGTTATTCATTTTGGTCACCCAATGAAGTGTGTTTTAGTAATATTATTTTCTTGAAATTTCGTGTATTAACTTGCTAAAGTTTTTCATTGCACGCCATCCAAGTTTTGGAAATACTTAGAATACTTTGGAATGTTTCGGGCTATCAATTTCAGCCCACTTCAAAAACCAAACAACAAAAATAACAAAGTTATTTAAAATGATAACAAATGGTTGTAGTTTATCTTTTGTTTGTAAAACCAATTCATCTACATTACATAGAATTGTTCAAAAGATCGGGGAACAAAGAATGGATTGCAGCTGTATTCATTCGACTGTACCACGACTGAGTTCGATTACTTCACTTCAAAAATATCAGTCTACATGATCTCAAACAGATAAAATATACCACATTTACAAATGTTTCTTTTTTTCCTTTCAGGAGAAAAACCCCATAAGTGTTTACAGTGTGGAAAAGCGTTTAGTCAATCATCCAACCTAATAACACACAGTCGTAAACATACTGGTTATAAACCATTTGCTTGTCACAGATGCGGAAGGGCCTTTCAACGAAAAGTAGACCTACGGCGTCATATTGAAACCCAGCATGCATTGTCATTAGAATCGCACGTGCATGAACGAATTGATACACATCTTTAACAATGTGAACGTGACTATTTATTTACCACTCGTGATTGTTGACAAATTGCAAGTGTTATATAGTAATAGTTCGTTTTGAGGGATTAGAACGTAGAATGCACACATCTCGCAAATCTCAATGGAACGCTGGAGTAGAGTAGCTCAATAAGTTGAAGCAAATTTTAAAAGGATATTTGCGTCTAAATAACGAAAATTGATATTATGATGACATATCTGCATAAGAAATTGGAGACTTGTTATTTGGACGGTGCTAAAATAGATGGTATGGTGTATATGGGTGCGGGATGTAATTTGGAAAGAGTTTTTTTTCTGCATGGTTTAATCTTTCTTCAAATCACAATGCAATGAAAATACCAAAATAGTTCTTTTGATAAATGTGCAAGAGTAGGAAACCAAATTGCAAGACAGCGTGGGTGTTTCGGAAAGTCTTGTCTGGTTTCGCTTGTAGAAAAAAGAAGCGAATACACAAGGTACGGAATACGATTCCCTTCACAAATTTTATACTCTAATTAAAACTGTATAAACTAACTAAATGAAGCGTATATCGCAATTGACACCGTACCTCGTATTTTCTGTCTTAAATCCTTAGAATAAATAGCAAACAAAGCAGACGTCCAATTTTCAAAGAATGTTACTCACGTTATAGCTGTTTTTTTTAAATCTATATATTTAGATATTTAGGCTATTTTAATGGTCGCAGATTCTGACCGCTCAGGTTGACGACCACATATTTAATAAAATCTGGTATAAGGTCGGCCATATTCACATTGTCAAGCTTTTACGACCTTCGACTTATACCTTGACTCAAATAACCACCTTTCTTGTTTCACGGATGTTTATAAATGCAGTTATTTGATTGTATTCGCTGGTGTGCACTCCAAGCAAATCACTGCATTTAGTGGAACAAGAAAGGTAACTATTGGAGTCAAGGTATATGACGAAGATCGTAATAGCTTGACATTGTGAAGATGAAGGTCGACCTACCAACTGAGTTTCACTTAGTATGTAGCTTGACGATGAAACATTTTCATATAAAATACATAGCTAATAAGTTATATTTAGTGTTGTTTAATTATTATTATTATGTAACGCACTTTATGCTTTTACCTTTGTTCAATAATAAAACTTAATTTATTAAATTTGTTATATGTATATTAATAAAAATTTTAATGAAATATTCCTGATGATATTTAGATACATACACTGAATATAAATGCATAGTACTCATTACACAAGAACCATTCTAATTTATGCATAAAATGAACAGATACCGATTATGCGGGTTATTGAAAGGTGTAGACCTCATCTGGAGGCGATTGTATCAGATTATCCAGGACTAAACCACTGTGTCTAGTTGTTTAAACCGTCAGCCAATGTTAGGAATAAAGTTTCTTCGTCCTCTTTTATGCACATTATTAGGGTATTGGAGACTTGCAATATTAACACAGCATGAAATCCACCAATCTATTTAAAATTAGATAACAAATTTGTATCTCTTTCCTTTTCCCGTATTTTTAGTCTCAATGGTAATCTAACAATTTTTCTACCAAATGTCCGTCCCAACTGTAGTATTTTTCTTAACAATCAAAGCGTGCCATGTAGAACCGGTTTCTTGATAAAAATAAGGAATTGTGGATATGGTTAACAACATGCATATTTTTGGTTTCAGTATCTCACAATTCCTTATTATTACACGCTTTGATTGGTTAAAAATAACATCATTGGGACGAGTTTTTGGTATTTGGTTTACAGCGAAGGCCAAAAATATTAGAAAACAAAATAGATGCGAATATGTAATCTATAAAATTAGATTGGTATTCCACTGACTCTAAGATTTTCGTTTTATCCCATAGTATTCCATAATAAGTCCATAGTGTAAACTTACACGGGGAACCGATTTGCAAAGAGTTTTTTTCTGTATGGTATAATCTTTCTTCAAATCATAATGCAATGAAAATACCAAAATAGTTCTTTTGATATATGTGCAAGAGTAGGAAACCAAATTGCAAGATACCGTAGGTGGTAGGTGTTTCCTAAGGTCTTGTCTGGTTTCGCTAGTGACATCTACCTCAGTAATTCACATTAAGCTATTAACATTCAATTATTTTCATAAATCAGACATAATTGACGCCGAAAAAATATGCACTGCATTAGATTCAGTAATCCGTTGAAAAAATTAACGACTGATCAAGAGTGGTGATGGGAACTACACTACAGTTTCACAGCTGTATCGAATGCGACTTGAATACTCGAACAATGAGAATCGAAGATCGTCAAGCTTTTGTTTTCTTATTTACTTTCTTTAATATTTAATGACCGTATCAAAGAATTAAACATCTCAACATTCGGATCTTCTAGATGTATTTTTAATGAAGCAGAAAATGACTCGAATCAATCTGAAATTTTGATTGAAATTAACGACAACGAACGATTACTCGCGTTGATACCTTTTAAAAAAACTGTACCTTGAAATCCGATTAATTTTACCAAAAATATACGTATTGCGTGTATTCAGAATTGTTCATCAAAAATATGCTGAATGGGACAAGTTCGGAATTCGTTTTACCAATCGTAATAGTGATCCATGTGTGTCCAGAATTATTCGCGTTTGAAAGTTAAAAAGACGAGTCGTCTTTTCTTGTAATGAACTGAAATGAATAACGTTTTACGTTCAACTTTCATCTTTTGTTGAGACATTGTCATATTGAAAAGACATCTATAGAAAAGGGAAAGAAATACCTTGTTAGATATCATTAAAGGAATAATGTGATTTTCATACATTTCTAGTACTTCTGAAGACTATCTACATAATTATATTCAAGACTCAAATCAATCCGCCAAAATGGCAAATCTGTTCCTTTATTATATTGTCCAAGACAGTATGCATTCTTAACGAATTTTCGTCTCAAATTTACAATACAGCGGTATTTATTTCCTATTCAATTTCATTATAGAGCAAAATCAGAAAAATCTATTCTATATTTACTAAGCTAGTCTTACTTTTGATCGTTTTAACGATTTCTTGTAGAAAAGGGATTATAATATGCAAAGAATTACAAGAGATCATCAGAGGCGTGGTCAAAACTGTCAGTTTAATTGATTTCTTCAAGTACAACTTGTCAATCAACAGGTGGATTTTCAGGAATTATTCCCATTCGTTAAGTTGAATTCATCATATAGTAACGTTCATAGAGAGTCAGAACATGCTCTTAAAGTGACAAATTCTACAACAGTCGCTTACAACCCGCGACATATGCGACCACATTGCTTTCCCAATTTGCATTTCTAATCAAATTTATAGGCTTTGCTTTCAAGTCAGGCAATTAATATCATCTGTGTGGTCCTGCACCTACGAAGTTCCCAAATGAATTTATTAGCCCCAAAACTAACCCTACGTATCTTTTTCTGTTGGTATGACTCGTGTCGGTCAGCAGAAAATAAAACGCAATTGCTGTATTTAAGTAAAGTAATGGTCATTATGATTTAGTTACATTTTAGATCTTCATTGTCTTGTAAATATCTGTTTTACAATCATGCAAATTATTATGTGTTGTTGAATTAAACAGGTAAACGGGCGCTAAGATAACAATATATACATTATTTCTTTTTTATTCTGTATAGTATTATTCATAAACAATATAATAATATATCAATAATGTACAAATTTAAAAACATAATCAAAAAATGAGAAAGTCACCTTACAAAAATGGAATTCCAGAATATGCTTTTTCACACCTGAGTGTATATTGGTTATTGCATAAAGCGCTAAGACACTTTTCTGCAATCGCACACTTGTGCAAACCGGATAATATTTGCCACTAAAAAGGTCATACCGTAACATGTGACATCGAAGGGATCTCATGTCCAGCTATTTACATATTGGTAAACGGTCATGGTGGAATCGTTGAATTTATTTTGTGGGGAAATCAAACTACCGCCTTTGTCTAGCTGTAGTTACCTACGGTAGCCTACGTTTCAAGGCAAGAAAGTATTGACGTTAAATCGTGTTCCCTCTATTATGAGTGTTTCTTATTTGCGGTATTTTGACTATTTTAAAGAGGGTAAGCAATAACTTAATGACTATAAATTGAAATTGACGACATTGTGGGGCAGAATTGAAAATATATAATGTATAATAAAATCCCAAGTGGTTATTGTTGACTTTCATGATGTGACGCCATATTGGATGATCATGTGATTAACTTTCACCAATCAGTGCCAAGAGTAATTTCTTGTAATCACCACTACAATCACCCTTGATGAAGCTGCCTAAAGTCTTGGAATACATTTTCTGGAATTCATCTTTAATAAACTGCATATCAATCTGGTAAGAGAGAGAAAACAAAACTTCAAATACTGAAAAAACTTTGCAAAACGTCCTATTTAATGACAACAGATTGTGAGCATGGATACCAAAAAGGTAATAATAATTTTCTTAATGAGGTTAGCAATATTTCTCTTTACATCTCCTTCATCATTACATGAAGTTTATACCGAGATTTAAAACCAACAATGGACTACGATATTCAATCTACTTTGTGGTTAAATTACTTGAAGCAACAGAAGGTCTTTTCATACGAAAACTGTACATTCCTTACTCAATAATGATTAAAGTTAATAACTAACTTTATTCATCCGTAAATTTTATGCGGGGAACGAAGTTTCGTTATTATTGTGCCACAAGTCCTGAACAATGAAAATTCCAAAGATAAAAAGTAGGCCATTATTATTGACAAGCTGACAACAACCCTTACCATTATTAAAGACATAACATATAACTTGCAACAACACTTTTACAATAGAAAATGTACCCAAGAACATACAACTTCAGTGCATTTCGCTGCCAATAAATTAGCTATACATTTGATATTGACAGCACTTAAACGACTGTCAAAACTAGATGTGAGTGTTTTAGGATTGAAAGATCAAGATAAAAAATACAGCGAAAAAAGTGCAAGTTAAAAAATATCCAACAGCGAATAGATGAACCAAAAATTCAAATTCCATTTACAAAGACGAATGCAAATACTTGAAGATTAACAATAATAAGCTATGAAAATGGATCAATTATTTAATAATTAGATTAAGAAGTGCATTATTCTTCACATTTATATTTTCACTTTCATCCTTTCAGTTAATTGTCACGATTTGGAAGTTAAGAACAGTGGGAGATCTAGAATTTGTCATAACTTGCAAGAAATCGATTGATTTTCAAGGTCCTATAGTATTCAAGAGATGTCAATGTCAGCTATCTATTTTGTGTCACACTTATAACCCGAACAATCGACGTTTCAATAGTATTATATGCCACCAGGCTATTAGGGCAGTACACACACTTTCTTTAAGGGATTATAATTTTGTTTTCTAAATATTTTATTTGTATCGGGGACACATATAGCATCAATTTGCACCATTCTCATTTTTAATCAGACGTCCACTACAACTAAGTGTTTTGTGACGTCACTAATTGCAAAATCAAAGTCACATTAGGCTCCTTACGAATTGCAGGAACCATAGATGTCTAATTAAAAATTAGAATGGAACTATTTCATAGAAACCACGTGAACCTTACCTCGCATCTGGACACAACCATTCTAATCAAAGCTATGTCTTTAGTACCAGCACCTTTCATACTGTGATATAGTCTCTCAGCGAAATATGCTGGAGTATTGGTTGCCAGCTTGACTGAAATGAACACACCAAAATATACCCAATATCTTAACACTGACATGTTCTTCACATCGTCTGGGAGAGCATCAATAAGATTTTCAAAACCAAGTAATAGTCAATACCAGTTGATGTGAAAGAATGAACTCTTGAAATAAAAATCTTGTCCAAAGCTGGGAAAATCGGGAGTAATTATTGTAGTGCACTCCCCAAACAAAAAGTACCGTCAGGTGTTTTGAAAAGAGTAAGCCTGTTTCGCTTCGCTTGCGACAACCGCCACTTCTATAATAACCAGATCAATACTTGAATTGAAAGCATTGGCAAAGGTATCTTTTAATTAGCTATGGCTGATCTGTCTGAATGCCATGTGTATGATAAACGAGTGCGTTAAAACAAACCAAAAATCACTGTGTTATGCCAATGGCATCAAAGCGACGACTTATGAAGAGGTTCGGCCGAAATGCCTAATCAAAATCAGTTTCTGTGAGAGATCCTGGGTGGTAAAGAGAACATAATCAACATCACGGATACCTACCTATAGCCAAATAACCATCTTCTAAATAACCACTTGTTTCACTCTTGATTGACTTTTCAAATGGTTTACCTGCGAGAGCTTGGTATGCTCTAAATATTTCATTCAATTGGGCATAACTTCTAGCACATAGAATACGATTAAACTCTGCTTCATCTGTACCAAGTTTCTTCTCTCCAGCCTAAAAAAAGAACATAGCTTATCACATTTTGTCCACAGAACATTGTGCTCTGAACTTTCTCTGAACCCAACCTGGACTTTTATATGTTTGACGATTATCATTCGGAAGGACGTACAGAAACAATACACATATAAAGCACAATCCTATCTGGTATCGATAAAACTTTGATAAATGATGCAGGAACATAATTGCAAATTGGGGTCAGAAGTTCCAGTATCATTCGAGAAGAAAAAATAAACATACCTTCAGCAAAGCTTGAGCATCTTGCTGAGCTTGAGCTGGATCAGGAGGACCTTCACCTCTATTAGCAGCACATTGAGATACCAGCAATCTTTTAAAATGACCACTTGTATCTGATTGTACATCTTTCTCCAGGTCGGATTTAAATACTGGAATAGATTTATAACATGATGGAAATTTCGGATATAAAGGGATCAAATATCTAATGAGTTCTCGTACAAATATTGGAACAAAACAAAATGAGTATAAGCTTACAAATATATTTTTCGTCGATACAAGCAAAAGTTATGGGATATCCATGACAAACGAAGGATGTTCACGGTAATAGGTACAGTTGACCATTCGACCCATTCCCGTGGGTGCATAAGGTTATCAGAAAAGAATGAGCACATTCTGGTTTACTCTGAATCAACCAAGACCAATGTACCAATAGTATTTATAAATAAATATTTCTCATCACCAACAAGCGCAATGCTTTCTCTCTAACAGTAGCTGCAGGCATGCTTTGTGAGAACATTGGCCGAATCCTGGATATACCAGTAAACCTAAATACCTACATGTTTTATATTGTTGTTTAATCTCCGTGATTTCAGCATTACTTCTAGAACAGAGGATTTCTATCAAAGCTGATTCATCAGTACCAGCTCCTTTTATAGCTCTTTTAAGTTCTTTAGCATCAAACACCCTTGGAGGATCAAATAGAGCCAGAACTCCATCTTCAAATCGACCACTTATTTCAGATTTCAGGTCATCACGTAAATCCTGCAATGGAACGTCAAAAATTCTGTATAGTTGATACGAATTATAGTGGGCCCTCAGTCATAACTGATTTGAATGTGATTCTAAAGCAAGCTATTACAAATCTCGATTTATACCCTTGATTGTAATGGCCACGTTTCTTGTGTTTCATAAATTGCAGTGTATGCCAACGAATACAGCCAATCAGTGGATTAGCATTGGCTGTATTCGCTGGCGTACAATCTAATTAAATTGCATCCAATTAAATTCCGTTATACAAGAAAGGTGGCTATCGCAGTCAAGGTATAAGACGGAAGTTCGAAATAGTTTGACAATGCAAAGATGAAAAGACATTGGATAACAGATATCAAGTATTCATAGTCAGTTATAGGAACAGTATATTGTAGCCGTGCTGAATCTTGTCTGTCGCCGTTTAGCAAACTTCACAGCCTTATCTAAAGCAAGACGCATAAAGTTAGGGTGCGGGCATACGAACAGTCTTGGTCGCCGCTTTTATCGCGTTGCCGACATGATTTATAATATCAAACCGTCTTTAAGACAGAGTGTCATCATCCAATCAGAATCATTTTCTTTTCAATTGCACGATCAAAAAATCACCGACCAAGACTGTTCGTGTTCCCTCAACACAAATGTGAACAGCACACAAGAAATAACGGATAGTTTGTACAGCAATTATATATCTTAGGGGAAATAATTAGTCTTAAAATATCAAACTTGTATTTCGATAGATGGTCAATGAAATTGCATAATTTATAGACATCTGTTGCAATGAATATTAAAATAACATTAAAATCTTCCACAAATTGGGTTATGGTAAAAGAATTATCTATATAATATTAAAATGAAGTGGGATTTTAAATCCCATTTTTCTTCACTTAGTTGGGCATCTGATCATTTAACGGCTACAATGTAAAATTTACCTTGCCATAACTTGTTTTATACTGTTTCTCGATCTGTATTCTCTGTTGATTGGAATGATGGGCTACTACGTCTATAATAGCTGCTTCATCAGTACCTGAAACGACAAATTCCACACTACTAAGTCTCTTCCGTCCGGTTGTGTTCGCACTGTTCACACGGTTGGGACAGAAAAGTCTTTGATCTGTGATATATTAATATCAGTAGGTAGTTTGATCTTCAACAACTTTAATATCATATCCCTGTAAATAACTAGCAATCGTACATATTGTAGGAATAACTTACCTAAACCTTTCATGGCCTTTCTCAACTTCGCAGCGGCATCTTCTGGGTTGAAGGGGTTGGCTGGATTCACTGTTGGCTATAAAATAAATTGTTAATACACTGTATAGTCAAAATGTTCGTTGATGGATCAGTAATTAATTCCATCTTCTATGAATCCATAAGATATAGAATCAAATTATTTAAAGGGAAACTACTCCATTTAGTTGAAACTTTAAATTCTTTCAGCTATTTTCCACAGGAAACGCATTTGTCCTATGACATTCAAATGACCTTAATGACATATTACATTATCATCTCTTTTATTATCATTATATTATTACATTATGTCATATTGATAACAGCTTAGTCAATATAGTTGTAATATTGCTCAATCGGGAAGTACAATGACCATTTTTCTTATCTTATCTCTGAGAATATTAGTTTTTCACAATATAATATTATTGCTTAAAACTCCTGTTGATATCGTTTCTAGTGAGTTAGTTAAGTATAATGACATTATAGGACGAGAGAATAGGAATAATGAAATTTACTTGATAATGTCAATAGAGGAAAATTATTACTAATTGTTGTAGGTGATTGTTTAATATCATCACGTTGTCGCGTATCACTTATTCAATATAATCATTACGATCACATCTTTGATATGGCAAGATCTTCATATAACCTAATATTGTCAGATGGAAAATATCAGAGTAAGTCACAAAATATGATATATCATATGCACAAACTTCTCAGATAGAAATTAGATTTCCAATTGTTACCATACATGTATAAGACTTCGAATAGTGAATCAAAATTCGAACTGTTTCTGATAGAAATAAGCAGGGGCGTATCAATAAAATGTCTGATGGGGGCTGGGGCTGCCAGAAGTAAGAATTGGAACTGTGTCAATAGAAAGTAGATGTCGAACTATGTATGATAAAAATGTAAATGATATAAATTGGAATTCGAAATGTGCGAGATAAAACTCGTGAGCCTAAACACCCCTAACTAAAATAGGTTTATATTTCAACACAACAGTGTTTTATTGGGTAAGATGAATCATTAGCATTCTCATAACAAACAATGTAAGAATAACATAATTACTATAATTATTAGTCTGGTAAAAAGTATAAATGTCATATTCATTAACTTTGAACAGTTACACAACTGTAATTTCACAATCTCAAATAATTGAAACTATTAAAATAGGGTAGATATTAAAAGGTATTAAAAAAGTAAAAGTAAATAGTTATAAAATCCGTTGATACTTTTTTTTTTAAAATTGGCAAGTAGATGAAGACGCGGTTTGTGTCCTTCTATTACAACGAGTCTTGATAGTTAATGACATATTTTGTTAATTTTTGTAGAGTTTATATCCATTATACTACATACCATGGTAGGCTATCTAGTTTTCATCTACCATAAATGTTGATTGTAATGAAAATGAGAAGCTGGTTTTATTTCATTAATTATAGAATATCTAGCCTAATTGATTTCTAAAAATAGAAACTAATCCATTAGGTCTGGTCACCTACTCATTCTTTGTGTATTTTATATGCACATAATTGAATATTATAGGCTAAAAGAATCCAAGTTTGAAAAAATGGAAGAGATGGTTGCTTCCCGATACCAAAACATTTGACGATTGATCACAAAACTATATATAAAAGTTATACAATTCATTGCAAAAAGGCTTCAGAACAAAATTAAATCATATTTGACATTATAAAATAGTGTTTTCTCCCTTGGACTAATTCTAACCAGATTAGATACAAATCGTTTCATAATGGGAGAAATAACTAAAACGTTCAACACGACTTCTGTGAGATAAACCAATATCATGTTTTTGACATTGCCATTTGACTTTGTCAATAATTGCGTCGCATATCTATTGCTATATAAATTGAAGTGCCACGCCCAGTCGCTCAGTGTATAGTACTAGGACTACTAGGAATTAGATGATAATATAGTGTACTTACCGCTATTGGGTATGCCATTTTGTTGGTGGACTAGATTTTAAGTTGAAATAATACTATATACTATGACTAGTTTTAACTTTGTACTTGAACTCTCGTAAAGCACGCTAATAGAAATATTTTTATCGTCTGCCGGAAATTTTGTTATCGACAGGATTTTGGTGGACGAGTCTAAGATGAAAAAGAAAGGGGGATTATTTATACTATAGTCTGACTTACTCACTCGATATTTGACTAGATTTGTGATCTTATCATGATTTCAAACTTGGTATTCACTATACCCCATTTAAGCCCGTATTATGTACATTGTGGTAGTCTAGACTAACTAGATAAATTGTTATTAGTACTCCAGATTAACCAGCCATACATTGCTAAATACATCTCAACACAGAACGTCTTGATGATCGAAAGAAAAATTAGACTCGATTGATTTCTCTCAGATACTATCTTCAAGATGGCGTCTATTTGATAATGCTCAAGTTTGTAAAGAATCGCTCTGGCCGTGAGCTCTGTATTATAATAGGTGCAATAGGGTTTCTATAATAATATTGGAGTTAATACCCACAGGTAAATGAACTGGACCACTAATTACAATATATTGATTAAGTCATACTAAAGTCTAATCACCTGTATCATGAATGTTTATCACAATATGCTATCATTTATCATTTATTCATGAAAAGGCGTATATTATAACGTATGTCGTAATATATTTGTATTGTACAGGGTTTATGTCTTAATGACCATTGTTGTTAATTGACAAAGTAACGTTAAGATGAACTCGGGTCGACTGGCATCTCAAATCCAACAACATCTCAACGCTCATACTGAAAAATTTACCGACGGCAGGCAACTCTTAGGGTCAAGGGTCAATTTCGTAGGTCGACAAGAAGATTCAATTGTTGCTATTGGTTAGAAAATGAGCAACTGACTGATACTACGATGTTTAAATTCGTCGACGCGCTCAAAGTGTACTTCTTAATCTAGGGAATTTTCAGATACTACCAGATGCTGATAGTTCCTAACAGTCTTTGAAAACCCATTTTCTTTCAGATTCTTATCGAGTTGCCTTAACGTCGTCCATGGAGGTACAGTTATGAACGGGTCAGGAAAATGAACATCGTTGATAATTCCACAAGAAAACCTACAGACTGTATGTATGCTCTAATAAAATCTTATACCTACACCGTACATTGATTGATTTATTTCTTTTTTTACCTCGGATTCAATCATATATGGGGTTTTTAAACAACGAAATCGAATAGCGTCAGTATTGTCACAGATGATTATAACAAATTAATATCACTTACTTCTGTTCGTGGTATCTCTTTACTGTTATCAATATATATATACGTGAATACGTTATGAGATTTCCTTTTTATTTGCTATTTGAATATATGTGTATTCATGTGTTTGAGGTAAATTTAAATGGGCTCGACTAAATGGTCTTTTGATATCACGGGTGTACGTCAATATATTGAATAAAATGGCAATATAGGTTAAATTGGGACATACTTTATTACTATAAATAGAGGAGACAATCCGAATTTAGAATATTGTTACTAAGAATAGTAATTATTGCCTCATTCGTACACATGACTTTCTCTTATCGAGTCACCAATATTACAAAATACTTTACAAGACAAAGTAATTCATTAGTGTCATGCCATAGACTGACTTTGTCTCCATTCATAACAATGTTTTTTCCCATTTGTGCGAGATATAGAACTACCAAATTTTTTTTATTCAATGCCGAATTGAAGGTTGCCTAAAATCAAATGCACACTGCCAACTGTCACGATTTCTTTTTTAAAAAAGCAGGCTTACTAATTAGAATTTATATGTGGACTATTTTTACCAGAAAATGTGTTTATTTCCCTTTAAAGCTTATTGTTTCTGAAACAATGTTCTGATGCTGAAGTCCGACTGATTTTTAAACTGTAATGTAAGTAATCGTCTGAAATTCTAAAAAAAAAGTTACAGGTTCCGAGCGAGGTCCGCTAAAGATTATATGACCAATCGAATTCTTTATTCAATAAAAGTTTGCAGACTTGGAAAACACATTATAAGTTGTAAATGACTTTTGTGTATTATAGAAACACACGTCCTTGACAGAAATTTAAACCAAAGCTGTCCCATTTTTTTCTGAAACATAGCCTTGATGATAGTTTGTGACAATGTATAGTCATTCTCAGAGTATCAGTACTATTTCCATGATAGTACTGACATTCCAATTAACTTAAAAATAATTGGTAAATTACGCTTTACCAACGAGATAGGTGGTGTTTTTAACGAACAATAAATCGATCTCTATTTGCTGACTGCACATTCAAGATTCGTCCACAATTGGATATCTGACAATTGTCTTAGCAAGAACCTTGATTTGTGTTGTATCTGTACTTCTAATAGTGTCCGAACTAAGTATAATACGGTTTGGGTGTGATAAAATAAAGAAACATCTCAGACAGCTCGACCAAAGTTGCGGCACCAGCCTTCTCGAACTGTGGTACAAATAGGAAGCAGACTGACTAAATGAGATCCTATCACCCCAAATTGTGCCATCACAGCTTATTCAGTCACTTTAAAGCATCCATAGGGGATTGAATGGAGAAAATGCTTAGTGAGAAATTCACACTCTTTAATTGATATTAAAGCGGATTTTTGTTAATGCCGCTGTATTTTGAAGATGTTACAGTTTTGTAAAGTTTGAAAAACTGAACTGTTGGTTGATATGGTGATACGAACATAAACACTTTGTGAACACCGTAGATACCACAGGAAACAATATGAAGTGTTAAATACGGAGTTGAAATGTGTTTGATTTCACACTTCAACATTTTACCGCACTTTTATTCGTGTGATTTTTAACAGTTTTGTGAAACTTATTTTGATGATTAAGCGTGAAAGGAAAAGTGTAATAGTTAAACAAAATTACGAAGTTCACTAGAGAGAAATAAAATTGACAATGTTGAAAAATGTTTTCAGGTACTCCATGCTTGATAAACACGTGAGAACCATCGTCGAAACATCGCATGTTATCGAATTAAATAATTTTTCTCCACTAGAAATCACACTAAATACATTGATGGTTATACAAGGCCTAATAGCAATGTTATAAGCTCAAGGGAGATAATATTACAATAATTAAATATTAAGGAATCTTAATCTTAAATTTGTTTAAGAGAAAATCGCTCGACATTGACCCATCTTAATGAGTGATAGAAATGACCATCCAGAAAATTACAACGTTGGTAGCTTTATTTTGGAGATAAGAGTTGTAATGCATGCATGTTTTTAAACATTAAAATCAGGGTTTCAAAAAAGATCACTGCCTTTAACAACTAAAGTCATTTTTCAAGAAGAGGCCAAGGCTATACGAAATCTTTTGGTGTTTACAGAATGGAAGAAATTCTATTTATTTTTTATTTTTTGAGGAATTTTGCGATTTTCGGAGATTTCTGGTACTTCTGGAGACTATGTATATATTATGTACATATACACAAGACCCGAAAATGGCGAATCTGTCCCTTTAAATATGTATTTTAGTAAAACGCTTTCGGCCACGCGACAGGCTGATAATGAAATCACATGACAAAAATGTGGTTTCAGGATGCACTAGGTCAGAAAATTCCCAAGTTTTTTGTATTTGAAAATGACCTTATGCTACATTCTTTTAAATGAAAACCACAACTATTTTCATTGGAGATTTTCATTGACTGGTGTTTAGTATTTCTAGCTAACTAAACCATATTCAATCGATTTTCTTGAATGTTGTTTGAATAAATATACACAATATTTCATAAGTTATTATTGTATTTTTACAATTGTATAATATTTACATAGTACTTGCTTGATATCTATATACATAAAATGAATAAATTATACAACAAATGAATAATTATGAACAATTGAAATAATGAAAACAACTAAAACAGATAATGTTTTAAATCAAAACAATCAAAACAATTATGTTCTCTGACTTCAAACTTTGTGGAATCAAACTTTTTTGATGACATTGTCGAACTCGGGTGTGTCTCTTTCCTGTCGAAGTTAACGTCACGATTTGAAAGTTAGTTTGATTGTTATATTTTAAAAACACTATCGTATATCACAATTCATTTTATATGCACTATAATATGTCGTCTTAACAAAATTGGCACGTGGAGTTTTCTCCATTGGAAGTCTCAACTATCCAGGTGGAACGTTTTTACTCGAACATATGGCAATCATCACCGCTCGACCATTGTGGACCTGCAAATAAAAGAATGAATTAATTAGAACATATGTTTCAAAATAATCAACAATGATTGTAACCACTTGAAAACTATTTAAGTTTAAGATTAAATCATTGTTTAATTTGGTTGCAAACTGAATCCTGGTACAAAATACACTTTTGCATGTACGATTATCGCTAGCACAATGATATCTATTGGTCCTTAAATATTATTTTATAACATTGGGTTGGTTGCAAAAAGTATTTAAAAGTACTTACTCAGTGAATCTCCCATAATCGAACTATTCAATGATTTGGGACTAGAGGATCGACCACCCTTTGATTGTTGTTGTTGGTATTTCTTCTGGCGAGCTCGGGAATTCTGAAACCAAACTTGGGTTACTCGCTTACTGAGTCCGGTTATTTGAGCAATTCTTTCTAAATCTTGGCCGTCTGGATTACTATCAATGTTGAAATTCGCCTGCAATACTTGTACTTGTTCTTCTGAGAATGTAGTTCGAACTCTTTTCGCTTTCTGTTTTTGAATTGAATCTGGATCTACAAGAATAAAGATGAATATTAAGATTTTTGAATTTCAAGTAGAAAATTAAAAAGAAAACCTTCAGTTGGATTTTTGTTCGTGTCGTAATAACAGAAATTTTAATCATGAATGAACGTTTTTGTATGATTTGAAAATAAAAACGTACCTGAGCTGGGACCACCTTCTAAAACTTCAATATAGTGTGTTTTACATAAAACTCTGTCATCTTGTAGAGCGAATTCTTCACCAGTAGACAATTGTCTTTTACAACTATCACAAGCAAAACAGGCAAGATGATAGACATTATCTCGGGCACGTCTTACCCAGTCGTTTGGTTGAATGTGACGCTGACATTTGGAACACTTAGCACCATATTCTCTGGAAAAATGAAAGGATAAAATATGTTTAAAAATTGTTCATGATACAAGTAAAATAAAAAAAACGTGCATAACTCTTTTGAAAGTATGTTGTGTCATAAAATAACATCTTTTCATTCAACTGAATAAAAAAATTTAAAGAAAAACTGAGAAAATGTTCAATCGATACTAGTAAAAATCGTTGATAGCTAAATAACATAGTAGTTGTCAGATTCAATTACTGCCTATCAAAAGCATATTTCCAAATCAAGGATGATTTCGATCGGAAGCCATTGTCTAAATTCCTAGTCTGTAATTTTATTCCTGAGTTTATCGAAGCGGCAGGAATATAATTGAGAACTAATCGCAATGTTCGAATGTGTCATTTTGATCAAAAATTTTCCCGCTCGGAACACTCATCTTGCGAGGTTGCTAATTTTTTCCCGCCCAATTAAACCGGATCGATGTTAGCGCCATCAAAATTCAGAAAGCAACTCATTTGTAGCAACCGATAACAACAGAAGTCAATTGAAGTTAATTTCAATCCCGAATCTCATTTATAAGTAATTCGTCCAGAGTTGATTTAATTCAGAAAAACAATGGCGTCAAGTGGAATCAGACGACACTATGCCCTGAGCTGTTGAAGCGAGTTAGATTTAATTTGCTGTGAGACTTTCTCTGCGGGATACCTTGAAATTGTCGTGATTTGATTGAAACAAACTTTCTAATTTTCATGTTTTTTTCGCATCTAAAATAATTTCTAAAATTTAGACCAACAGAACTCTGCTTACCTTGTATAATCAACTTTGCAGTAAATATTATCTCCTTTTATAAAACATGATGACTGACGTTCTAAAACACAATCACAAACACTGCACCGTAAACAATCAACATGAAAAGAACAACCATTTACTCTTAATAAATATCTATCATGTATCATTCCACCGCATCCAAAACATAGTTCACCTTCAGTCTACAAAAGAAAATTTTCATTAATATAAAATACCTTTTAAAATGTAAAAATATTAAACGAAAACGAATTTTTATTCGCAGTTGAAATTGTATTACAAAATAAATGGTCGAAATATTGTATGTGAAAGACGCTATATTTAGATATTGCATACATTTTTTTTTTAAATATAGGAATCCTTTTTTAAAGTTTATAAAGTGAAAATATGTTTTAAAGGAAATTATATAAAAAAATTATTGTACCAAAATTGGAAGTAAAATATTTTAAATTGATTATGACATTTTAATTTGTGTTAACATTTAATGAACCATCATTTAAATATTTAAGCGACTATTATTCAAAGCTTTTAATACATAAGTAAATTTATATCCAGATGGTTACTTATATTGAAAAGAAATTTATCTACCTAAAATTCGGCACCTGTCAATCATCTCAGTAATGTGTCAATCAATTTTCACTTTCCCGAATGTTACCTTATGGTCAATATTTTATAAATTAGATAATCTTTATAGATAAATTCTTAACACTTTTTAATATCAGATTTTGAATTTTCATGTTATGGTAGTCTGAAATTTATTTCTTAAAAATTGCTTATCTTTCTGCAAGATAAGACTTGATTTCTATACTTTTAATGTTTATTTTCTACATTTCCATGCCAAATACTGCTTTTTCTATTAGTTCAATGTTTTTGATGTCACATGAGAAGTGACATTTGACAAATAATAGACAAGATTTTAAGATGGAGTCTAAAGAACTGCGTCCGTTCACCTAACAAAATTACTTTCAGTAAAAGCAGAAGAGTTACTTAACAAAAGAGACAGCAGTAATGCATTTCCGTTCGTCGACATCTTGTATTGTGAGTTTTAATGGAAATGAGATAGCGTGGTGTTCGATTCCAATAGACTTATCCAAGGGAAATATGTCCATTTCTCACATAAGGGAAATGACTCCTAAGTGGCGTCGTGAGAGATGTTACGAGGCCTAAGCGCGTGTTTTCTTAAAAGAATGTATACTCGCCTTCCGTTTAGTCAAATCGGGATAGAGTGCTTCCGTAAGAGTCGAAATTACTTCCGCTTGTACGACAAAAACGCAAGAAAATCGTATTAAATGTGTCTTAAGTGAATAAAGACATAGTAGAAATTTCTATAGAAGCGCCTTAATGTTGAGAAAATTCGTTTTAGCTCTCACGGAATTTTCAACCTTTCCAATGGCCTCCCTCAGAGACATCTGTCGTTATCTATTCAAAGGTATTTTGTTGTGTGTCGCTAAAACGGAAACCAGGAAATGACAATTCTTCCTGAGATTGGCTCCTGTTCGCTGGACTATAAATTGTTTTTTCTCTTTCAATCAGTATCTTGTAATGTATTTTTAATTCAATAATGTCAAATGTTAATAGATGGAATTACTGATGGAAGAAACTAATAATAAAATTTACCCTACATCTTGACTAAAATTTTAAAGTATTCAATTCCACCAATTTTTAATTAATTGAATATTTCATTATTTAAATAAATAGAATAATTGTATTATTTTTGTAATACAAAATCAATGATACATTAATACATTTTCGTATTTTCATCAGAAATAAACATTCTGAAATCCCACAAAATTCCTAACATTTAGAAAATATTGCAATGTAGAAAATAATATTAAGAGTTTGAAACAATTTTCCTATGCATTTGTGCAATCATCTGGTATTGATGTCAGCTCACGGCAAAAATAAAGTCTATGCCGTTGGTTCCCAAACCGCCATGCTATTCATAATATCATAATGCTTTCATGAATGTAATACATACCTTTACGCAGGTCATATTAAAAGAATAATTCTCGGATGATTCTGGACTATATGACTCGTCTTCAAAATCTGAGCTTGACGCCATAATGGTAAATATATGAATATTCCAAACTATTAAAAATCCTTGATGTGTATAAGAGAACAAGTCAGAATGTTATGATGAGTTCCAAATGGAAAATTCGCTTTTTATTAGGAAATCCAGTGAAATGTATTCACCGCTAATCTGAAAAATCATAACATAACAATCTGTCAAACCAATCCAACCAATCAGCGTCGAGTAGGAATTCTTACCGCCCGCTGATTAGTCGAGAGTTGGAATCCGGTAAATGACACGCCCCATTGATTCCACTGCGACACACACGAGTTGTCAAAGCGTACAAGATAGATATCAAACATATTGTATAATGGTTGTTTTAAGGCAGGGTGAACACACATAACAATTATTATTTTTCAATCATCACACATTTGCATCTAAATTTGACTTTGATTGACATGTAAGAAATCAGACTATGAATTTTAATGCTTAAAAAATATTTGAACTGTAAAAAGACAAATGATCCGAAATATCAGAACCTAAAACTGAATTTTGATGATATGTAAAAATATATGTTTTAAATATATATGTCTCGGCAGCGAGACCAGTTGCAATATACTCAACAAAGTTCAATTACTTCACATTATAGTGATGAAATGATTTTTTGCCTTTGGCAATTTGAATACTTTAACATAATATTCTTTAGAATATACATACTTTACATTATACGTTTCGATATATTTAAACTTTCAGGAAATGAATTTAACTTGAATATTAAGTTCTTAGTTCTTTGAGAACACTATTACCACGGTTGCAATTTGAATATTGTGCAAGAATGAAAAATATTCTTATTTTACGTTAGATTCTTGGGAATTGCTCATTTAAATTTGAAATTCTGAGTGGCCTGGAAACATTATTCTTTGACTTATAGTTTGGAATAGTTGTTTCGATGATCACAACAATCGCGGTATAGAAATTCTGCTTTAAATATTTCAATTTTATTTTGTCTATTTTTCAAAATATACAATACAGCCACGTTTTATTGCAAGCGGTCATTGAATGTTGGGATGAAAATCTCTATGTTGTTTAGAAAAATAGGCCCGGTGGAAATATCCATAATTCGTGTTTCAATTGTTGGCCTGATTAGAAATGATTTTTGTAAGAATATTGGAAAAATTTATACATTTATGTTTCATTATAATATATCGTATGTCCCGATGTTTAAATACTGTTCTTTAGAAATGACAGTTTTAGCATTGGGTTGCATGTTTAACGCGAAATTTGGGTTCTTTCGAATCGGTCTCTCAAATAATATAATAATATTGGGGTTTGTTTTCCGACAGGAATATTAGTTTTTTTAAAACTCCATAAAGGTTGTTGTCATGGTGTCATAAGTGTTATTCCAAAAAGTTTGGTTCTGATATTATTTCATATCCTAATCCTAATCTAGTAAGGATGAGCACGGATTATCTATAGGATATGCAATATGTAATATTTAATTCGGATTAATATGAATATTATCCCAATCTATAATCTATAATGTGCAGTATGGCTTATAAGGGTTCCCATTGGTAAATCGGGATTAGAAATGGTACTTTTAGATCAGTGGTGTTTATTTCAACAGAACTGTGTTAAGCTTTGCCCTTCTTTTGGTGATCACTTTATAAAACAAAAGTTTTTATTTCAAAATCCTCTTAGAAAGTTTACTTTCCGTTTATCAAGCGACTAACTTCTTGATCTGTTACACTACAGTAGCTGAATCCGACTTATTGGTAAATACCCACGAAACAATGTCGGCTTTTGTTAAGTTGTCATAATACGAAATGTATTACTGTAAAATAGCTTAGCAGGGGGACATTTTTGGGCCCGAACATGTTACAATATGTCTAGGATCATTCTGTTTTCTATAAGAGACATGTACACGATAAAATCTATATCCTAATTATATGCTCAATGTCGGATTAGCTAAGGCTATGACGGTTACGACATCGGTATGTAATCGACGTGCGAACCAACATGGTTCCGTTATGATGTGAATAAGGTGCAAATATTACGATGGTCAGTTCCCACAATTATATTAGTTAAGATATGATTCAAGACACAGCAGGTATATATTGTACAGAATCAGAACATCTCGAAAGTTATCTAGTTTTTAATATCTACAGAAAGTGAAATTGTTGAGGTTTTTTGGTAAATATTCTGTCAAAAAAAAACCATATATATTTTCTTTTAAAGCAGTCGAATTTGTAAATGAATATTACAAATTAAATCAATTCTTGAATGTGAAAGATTTTGGAAACAAAAAACATTCAACAGAAAATATTCATTGCTGATATAAACTCAAAACATTGTTCATGATTCTGTCAATCAAGGCATGATTTGAACATGATCATGAGCTGAATGATTGACAATAACAAACAAATCAGTGCCAAGCATAAAGTTCCATTATACCAGAATCAGTAAGATAAACATGTAATCTCACGATGTTGAAAGTGTTCAGTTATATCCTCGGATTAAAGATTACAATCAAAATGTGATGTTATCAAAACATAAATTTCAAACTTGAAAGAGATATCACGTGCCTTGATTGATTGGCCATTATAACTAAGTTTATAAAAAACAAAATGATAACTGTTCATTTATGACTTAAACAAAATTATGATTTGACTTTTTTTTTTAAATTGCAGAAAAAAATCTGCATCTATAAATATTTTTTCAATCACAGTTAGGAAGATCTATAAGTGAAATGTTATTTATTTACTTAAAATGAAAATTCAGTTTCCAATATTTAAAATGATGATAGGTAAGTTTTTATATACGGAACGTAAAAATGAAATTTTATTTTCTTGTAAGTAGTGAAGTGAAGTTCCTTGTTAAGTAAGATTAGAAAATATTAATTCAATACTGTAGTATATCTTTCTGAATTTCTTTCTGTACGCTGTACGTTCGTTTCAAACACGATGAATATAAAATTTGATAAAATCGATAGAAATGAATTTGGTACAATTCGGTCCTCCTCTATAGGACCATGCTGTACCTCTAGATGCATTAAAATGATAATTGGTCATTTAATATAAAAATAAGATATTTTAGCAATATATGGCCTCTATCTATTGGACCTTTTTAAAGAAGACCCCTTTCCAATATTCATCTTTTGACATTAGTCATTTAGCATCAATATTAAGATTTTTAAAAAACCAAAATTCAACAATATAAAGAAATAGAAACGACACGTGATGAAAGTTCGTCTTAAAACAACATCAATGATGCTGTATAAACAAAGATGATCGACATGTAAATGGATTAACAGATAATCCGTTCCTGACGTTCACCTTCTACAGATACGACAGAAGAGATTTACGACCAAACGTTTTCACACCTGCACAGAATGTAGGTACAGATGAACTTGACACGATTGACATACCCTCTTGTGAGTTTGTCAAGACCTTGGTCGTAATCTATTGAATATACTTTCTAGTTAACAGGTGTGGAGCTTTGATACAAGCCGCCCTTGAGGGGCACTCAATCGATAACCTATAGTCGTTATATACAGACCATTGTTTTAATGTAAATGATGCTAATTTGATGTATTGTGCTTTAACGCTGTTGTTGACGATTATATACCATACCAGATATACTTTCCAAATCTATTGGAACCATATTTGATACATTACTGCCTTGAGCAACATTTTAGCTTTATAAAGACAAATTGTGTACCATATTTAATCAACATTCGTGACCAAAATCCCAAAATATTGAGATTAAAAGTAACTCCAAGAAAAGAGAGAAAAGAACCATTAACATTTTGCACTCCCTGTTCCACTAAATTCGTTATTTTTTTTTAAAGGTCTCTTTACTAATAGTACATGTATATGAGGAACAGTAAATTCAGTTTAATCCCGCTTTAATCCGTATTGGATGACAGTTTTGTATAATCAAGATTAAACTTAATCCACTTAAAAAGATCGAAATGGGTGTTTTTCTTACTGATCACGCATCTTCAGTGTCAGTTTAAAAATAATACACACGACCAGGGGCAGCTAACTCAATACGCCTTAACGAGTTTTGTTTCCAACGAATTGTTTTTTATTAGGTTTTAAGTGCAACTCGAAGCATTTTTAGAGACTAGCGATTGCTCTTGAACACAGCTGATGAGTGAAAGTGGAGTGAGTATCCCATAGTGAATGAATAACATTAATTACTTCAATAGAACGTTATAAAGACGTACAATGTTATGTAAGGTTATGACTTAATGTCCAACCAAAATATAAGCTTCATATTACGTAGTTATTTTTGTTACCTTATAACATATGACCTTCAAATATTATTTTTAAAGAGAATTTTTTTTCAGGGAACCAAAGTTAAAATTGAAATAGAAACTCACATGTTTATAATATGTATGATCAAGTATGATCAATTAATAATAAATTGTTGTAGTTCTCTTTAAAGATTTATTACTTAAAAATAATTATAATGCTTAAGCTCTGAATGTAGGGTTGTCAGAAATATTTTTCCTTTAGCAAATGAGTATGAAGCTAAAACAAAATTTGCAACGTCTTTGTTAACAGAATTTTGTCTCTCTTGGCATTTATGAAAATCCCTTATAACCACATATTCCTTTAACAACGGTACGACGATATTATCCATAGTAGCCTAACGGTGCTAAAGGAATAAGTTATAACTTATATCTCATCCGAAATACTATCTGCAAATGAAAACAAACTTTAGTTCCAATACAACCAGGATAAAATAAAAATTTCTTAACACCATTATAAAGAAATCGATGTATACGTACGAAAACCTATGGTTAAAAGCCAGAAAACACTGAATATAATGTACTTTGTTTTGTATCGATTTTCATGTCAAATATAATTACAAGATAGCTAATTACTAGACACAAGCACAGACAACTCATTTACATTATTTTATTCCCAGATTGTACCTTGTTTTTTGTATTTACATTGTAACATCAAGCTAGTGCAATTCTTTTTAACAATCCCTACTTATGTTCAAAATTGTGAACTTATGCTCGAATCAAGTGATATTCTCTTTAACAACCCTTACTTATGTTAAGATCAAAATTGTGAACCTACTATGTTCGAATCAGT